AGCACTCCTAACAGGTGGCCATCGAGGTTCTGCTTAAAAACTTCCAAAGAAGGAGAGTCCATCACACTCCGAGGCAGCATATTCCACTGCCGACCAGGTCTGACTGTCAGGAAGTTCTTCCTGAGATTCAGATGGAATCTCTTTTCGTTTGAAACCATTGCTCCTTGTCCTTGTGTCTGGAGCCGTGGAAATCAAACCTGTCCCTTCCTCGACATGACATCCCTTCAAATATTGAAACAAGCCTATCATGTCCCCTCTTAACCTTCTTTTTGTAAGGCTAAACATTCCCAGCTCCCTAAGCCGCTCCTCACAGGACATGGTTTCCAGGCCTTTGACGATTTTGCTTGTCCTCCTCTGGACACATTCCAGGTTGTCAACATCCTTCTTGAACTGAGGTGCCCAGAAATGGACACAGTACAGTCGTGCCCTGCTTAACGATTGCCTCGCATTACGATGAATCCGCTTTATGACGATCTTTTTGTGATCACAAAACGATGGTCTAAATGGGGGAATTTCACTTAGCGATGATTGGTTCCCTACTTAGGGAAACAATTTTCGCTTTACGAAGATCAAAAACAGCTGATCATCGGGTTTTCAAAATGGCCACCGGGTGCTTAAAATGGCTCCCCGCTGTGTTTAGGGACGGATTCCTCACTATACACGCAGCGAAAATGGCCGCTGTATGGAGAATCTTCACTGGACAGTGAGTTTTTACCCCATTGGATGTAGACCCCCAATTAAAGACCCCCAATGGGGTCTTTAATTTCACTTTACGATGTTTTCACTTAACGGCGATTTTCCTGGAATGGATTATCGTCATTAAACGAGGCACCACTGTACTCCAGGTGAGGTCTGACCAAAGCAGAATAGAGCGGTACTATCACTTCCCTTGATCTAGACACTATATTCCTATTGATGTAACCAAGAATTACATTGGCTCTCTTGTCAACTAATTACAAATCCACCGAAAAGCAGCACTCTCTAGCACACATTTTACTAGCTTCCTTGCAAGAATATCATGGGGAACTTTGTCAAAAGCCTTACTGAAATCAAGATATGCTACATCCACAGTGTTCCCTTTATCTATCAAGCCTGTAACTCTTTATAAAAAAAAAAAGAGAGAGAGAGATCAGATTAGTCTGGCATAACTTGTTTTTGAGAAACCTGTTTTGACTTTTAGTAATGACAGCATTACTTTCTAAGTAATAACAAAACTGTCTGTTTAATGCTCTGCTCTAGAATTTTTCTGGGAATGGATGTCAGGCTGACTGGGCGATAATTATTTAGTTCTTCTTTTTTCCCCCTTTGTGAAGACAGGGACAACATTTGCCCTTATCCAGTCTGTGGGGATTTCTGTTCTCCAAGAATTCTCAAAGATTAGTGCCAATAGTTCTGAAATTATTTCTGCCACTTCTTTTAATATCCTTGGATGTAATTCGTCTGGCCCTGGAGACTTGAATTCATTTAGAGTAGCCAGGTATTATTACTTCTCTACCTATTCTGTGTTGCATTTCCCCACTACAGCAATATTTTCATTTTTGAAGAAAACTGAAGCAAAGAAGGTGTTGAGAAGTTCAGTCTTTACCCTGTCCTCTCTTAGTAGTTGGCCATCTTCTCCATGCAGCGACCCTATCATTTCCTTGTTTTTCCTTTTGCTGTGGTCATAACTAAAAAAGCCTTTTTTATGATTTTTAATCTGTCTGGCAAGCCTGAGTTATTCTGCACTTTTGCTTTCCTTACCTTTCCCCTTCATATACTGGCTATTTGCTTGTATTCCTCTTTGATGTTTTCCCCATTTTTCCATTTCTTGTACAGTACATGTTATCTTTTACACTTAGTTCAGTTGAAAGTTCTTTAGTCAAACTTTCTGGTTCCTTTAGACATCTCCTGTTTTCCTTTCTTATTGGAACAGTTTTAGACTGTACCTTTAGTATCTCCCTTTTAAGAAATTCCACCCATCCTGAACCCCCTTCTCTTTCAGTATCTTTGTCCATGGAATTACAGCCAGTAATTCCCCAAGTTTACTGAAATTGGCCTTCTTAAAGTCTAGAATGCATGTCTGGCTGCACTTGGCTTCCCCTTCCCACTGTATAATAAATTCCAAGAGAGTGTGGTCGCTCCCACCTAAGGATCCCACCACTTCGACCCCATTAACAAGGTCATCTCTGTTGGTTAAGATCAGATCTAAAATAGAGCTGATCCTCTTGTTGCCTCTTCCACCTTCTGGACCATGAAAATGTCTGCAAGGCAAGTGAGGAATTTGCTGGACTTTATGTTCTTGGCAGAGTTTGACTGCCAACATATATCGGGATAGTTGAAATCTCCCATTGCTACTGCATCTCTCCCTTTTGAATGTGTGGCCATCTGCTCCAGGAAGGCATCATCCAACTCATCGGGCTAGCTTGGGGGTCTGTAGTATTCCCTCTTGTTTCTCTCCCTCTTAATTCTTACCCAGATGCTCTCAACCTGGATCTCTTCACAAGTATAAACATCCTTGACATATAAAGCTACTCCTCCTCTTTCTTGCTAGGTCTATTTCTCCAAAATAGTTTATATCCCCCAATAACTACATTCCAGTCATGAGTTTGATCCCACCAGGTTTCAGTGATACCTATTTTATCATATTTATTTTGTTGTATTAAGAGTTCTTCATCTCAAATGTGATACAAGTATATTTCTGTCTTAGCTACCGATTCAAAAATTTTGCTTGCATTCCTCATCCCTCCTCATTCCCTTTTCCTCTTGTACCACATCTATTAGATTGCGACTATCTAGCTTTTGTAATCTCCCTGCAGCACTTAGAAAAATTTAGGTGCTATGTAAGTGATGAATAAATAATAGTATTCACTTTATATAATTGTGTACTACTTTCTCATTCTTACTGTAGACAAGAGTAGCAGCCTAGCAAATATTCTGGAGCAGGAACACCTAAAACAAATCTAGACCAAAAGAGCAAAGCAAAATGTGTTGCTTATATGCCGCCCCATAGCACTTCAAGCACTCTCTGGGCGGTTTACAAGTTAATTATGCAGGCTACACATTGCTCTCCCCCCCCAAGCAAGCTGGGTACTCATTTTACCAACCTCGGAAGGATAGAAGGCTGAGTCAACCTTGAACCAGCTACCTGGGATTGAACCCCAGGTCAAAAGCACAGTTTTGGCCGCAGTACAGCGGTTTAACCACTGCACCACGAGTCCGGCTTGTTGGGACAAAAAAAAGCCAGAGCACCAACTGTTGCCATGTTCATGTTAAAGTAGAGGATTATTAAGAGTAAGAATGTCAAACAACACTAGAGTTTGGAGCAATCATTTTTGTAGTTAATCACTTCTCATTTTGTTGTGATTTGCCACTGTTCACATCCAGTCCACAACACAATCAACATGATTTCCTTTAGCTGCAGTTACATTTTTCCCCATGCTTGAAAGCAAGTAACTAATATCTCTACTCATATTAGTATCAGGTTTCTCAATTACTGGTGCTGCCAGTTGTATTGTTTTTTTATTGCTTTTTTCCCATTTTATTCTACTTTGCAAGAATAATCCTTCTCCAACTGCCCATTCTTAGGAATATTCTGTAGACTTCAATTCTCAGAAGTAGATATTTAGCATACATCAGGTTTTAAAAATATAAGTAGCCAAATTAGTAGTGGGGCTGATAATAACCAGGATTCCAGAAGGCAGGGATAGAAAATTAATAGTTCTTCCTCTACGATAGTCTTGACAAAAATGGCACCCAATAAGCTGTTACTTACATTGGAGGGAAAAGTTCAATTGTTAATATTCTATCATGTGTCAACATCAGAAGCTGATTACTTGCTAGCAGGGATGTTGGCAGGTCTTGGAACCGAAGTCCCAGTCCCACATTTTGGGGCCTGAGTCCCAAGCCTTGAGTTCAAGTCTCAAGTCACTTGTCCCAGCCGCCTGAGTTTTAATATTTGGGACTGGGACCAAAAGACTCGGGCCTCCCACTGCCACCGCCACCATCTTCATAGGCAGCAGGCTTGGCTTCCATTCCCAAAGCCAGACTGCCACCTCTGCCCATGCATGTGCCAGCCATCTGATAGGCCAGCACATGCCCAGAGACAGTGGGCTGGCTCTGGGGGTGGGTTCATAGGGAGTCAATGATGTGACTCAGACAAATGGGTCTGAGTTGCGACTCCCCGCTAAAAACCACGAATCAAGTGCAAGTCAAGTCACCAGTATGACAGTACGTCACACTTGAATGCGAGTCACAAGGCACAAGTCCCCATGCCTGCTTGCTAAGATCGTAGAAGTGGAAGAGAGATTTAAGTACTCATTCTCCATTGATTTGAACCTTGGCTAATTACAACTTGGATAATTACAACTCACACATAGACACAACAGTGGCTATTTGCATTTTTTAAAACATGCTTATTACGTGCAAAGATGCATCCAAGAATATCCTCTAAAACCAGTCCACTCTGTAAGCTGTCCTCCAGTTTTTACCTACCCTCACTAGTATGACCACTAGCTGCCCCAAACTTTTGGTTATTCTTCTGGCTACTTCCTGACTAGCCAAGGATGGTAATTATTCAGCCTTGAAACTGATCCATGTCAAGGCTAGAATCTGGCCTTAAACCAGGAACAAGGAACATAAGACCCAATAACTGCAGTTTTTCCAAACGCTGCTCAAATCTAATTATTTCATCTACAGCAAACCTGGGCAAAGTGTGGCCCGAGGGCCACATACGGCCTGCGAGCCACTCCTGTCCAGAGCGCCGGACATCAAAACCATTTATATCTTTTTATCTCAAGTTGATCAGTTGCTTATCTGTAACATACCACAAAAAAAAACTCTTTAGCATTTGTGAAAATTAACAAGTTTAAAATAAAAACAATCATAACATCACTGTTTCATTTTATTTTTAAGTAAAGTTGGTTCGCCCCCCCCCACATAGTTCAGATTTTTCATGTGGCCCCCCTATAGAACTTAATTGTCCACCCCCTGACCTACAGTATACTCTATTGTTGCCCCTTTACCTGTGACTTCACGTAATCATACTCTTCTGTCCCACGTGGAATGCTCCAAAGAGAACTGAGGTAATCAAAGGTAATGAGTGCTGTCTACAAAGGAAGCCAGAGACAAAATTGTAAACAACACAATATCTTTCCTAGTTGTTCTTGCTTAAAAAAAAAAAGATTTCACAGCATTTGACCCTCAACCTGGAAGTACAAATGTCTTCTGAACCTCTTGTGCTCTGTTGTGCTTCTGGCCATCTAGTAGTTCATTCTCTTTCCAGCAAACTATCAGAGCACCCAAAACCACATACTCACCTTTCTACCAAACACCTTGGGAGTGTGATTTTGTTCAGTACCAGTTACAAACTCAGATTTAGCTCTAAAAATCCAGGCAATGAAGCTTATATTTTTGTTCAGGAATGTGAAACCAAATCTTCCCAAGTAAAGAGCCAGATACTGTAATATAGCATTTCAGAAACGTAGATATCTTTTTTTACTTCCTCAGTTCCCTATTTCAAATGAGTACAATTTCAACCATGAAAATAAACCAGGGGATTTACCAAATGTCTCAGAAGAATTCTTTTTCAAAGCGAGGAAGAAATTTCAGAAATAACAAGGGCCTGTTCCAGCCTTTCCGATGTCTACAGAGAGAGGCATGTGAGCCTGAGGTCTTCAGGGAAAGCAACCTAAATGTGACTTTACCTACGTCTTTGGCTTCTCTCTTACTCACCTCATAACTGCATCATAATCCACTATAGTGACATGCCCAGTGACTGCATGTCAATGCCTCAATATAGACATGGCTTGGATACCAAGACAACGCAAGCACACATATATAGTGTATAATAAAGCACAGATCCAAATGGAGTAGGGAGCAAAATTTACAGTATCTTCTAGCCTTGTTTCCCCTTACTAGATAACTTCACTGTTTTGTTCCTGTAGGTTTGCACAGTCCTCTAATTGTGCCTGTTACATGCTGACACGTAGCTTTTCCTCTATGGTTTTTTTTTTCAAGGTATGTGAGATATTCACCATATACCACTGGAGTGGTTTACCACTACCATCCTCAGTGAATTTCTAAGCAGAGATTTGAACCCAAGTCTCCTGAGTTCTAATTTATACCCTTGTTGCTACATCACACGAGCTCTCAAAGGGATAATTGTTATCTTATTTCCTGACACAGATTCAGTGCCTTAATCAGCTTTCTAATGAGAATGCAAAAGGTTTCCCTTTTCTGCTACGAAAATAATAAAATGGAAAATGTTACCTCTTGACAATGATTTCACCTATTTTCATTAAATACTGAAAAAGAAGAGATCTGAAACATAGATTTCTAATGACAAAGATCCACATAAACTGGACAGTCTTAAATCAGAGCTACTGCATGTTCACAAAAAGAGCCAGTATGGTGTAATCAATACAGTGATAGGCTAGGACTCAGGAGACCTGTGTTCGAATCCCCGCGCACCTGTGGAAACTCATTGGGGGATGGCAATTATAAAACCACTCCTTAAATATGTTGCATACCTTGAAATTTCTGTTAAGGTTGCTGTAAGTCAGATGCAACTTAACAACACATAACATGCATGCATGTTAATGAAAGGGCCTTCTATAACCTCACTTTATTAAAAAAAGTAAATGTATCTTAACCCTAACTGGAAAGCCACCCAATGCCTTCTTTGGTATAAACTTACTGTGGCAACCGCTCTGCTGACCCGTATAACTCCAAAGTCATTGGGATCCAGGAGCTTGTTGTTGTACAGGTAGAACCCAGCAGTGGCAGCAGCTGCTGCTGTGCCAAATGATGCAAGTTTTAAAGCCCTTCTGGCCATGGCAGCCAACACTGCAGAGGAATAAAGCGGGAGTCATTACCTGATAAGGATGCTTAGATGGGGGCATGATTCTGAAACAAGTTGGTAGAACATTCCACATGACGGGATATTTTTTAAAAAACAATCAAAATGGGCATAGCTCATTTGGAGCACAAGAATGAACAATTCTCTTTCCCAAACAACCGGAATGAATAAGATTGTGACACCAGAGCTAGGAAATTTTAACTTTTTTGGACTGTAACATCCAGAACAATCAGAAAAGTTACTTTCTCAAGCTCTGTATGGCACATTATTTCATACAGCATGGGGCACAGAAAAGGGATGGAGTATCTTCTGTCAGATGTTTTGGAACTGGCTTTCAACTCCCATCATTCTGAGCCAGCATGGTCCATGCTAAGGGAATGTGGGAACTGTAGTCCAAACATAAACAAGGCCAAAGGTTCCTCACTGCCGGCATAGACTCAGATCAACTCACCTTTCCTGTGCTGCACTACTGCTTCTCCATGGCTGAGTAGATTAAAAAGGAGAAATTACTTGGGGATGGAAGGAGATGCCATAATAATATGTTGTTATGTTCACTACACTGATGCTTTCTTGTGTGAAATTAGACATTAACTCTCCAGAAACTTGTTACCAAACCTTAATTTTCTGAAATAACAGGCATGAAAGGATAAAACAGAGGACTACAAGGGAGAATGGCAGGAAAGTCAGGGAACTATATCTGCTTTCCTGTAAATACCCATAAACCATTTAATTTTCATCTGGCTTTGAAGCCCAGTTCAAGGATGGAACATGCCCCAACCACACTGTATTTGAGCATTATAAGAGCATTTGAGCATTATGAGATACAGTAGTTTGAATTATGACGCCTGGTTCAAATCTGTAATATGGCAGAAGATCTGCCAGCCAAAGGGTCCAGTTGAAATCCCCACATCACCAGTTAGAAGGATCTCAGAGAGCAGAGGTAGAAAATAACCTCTGCTTAGGACCTTGGAGAGCCATTTCAGAGTAGAGCAGATGGCACTAGGCTAGATGGACAACGCTCTGGTTTGGGGTGTGGCTACATCTGCACCACAAAGAGAGGACACAAAAGGACAGATTTCCATAAATCTACACATGCCAATTTACATGCATAGATAAAAATACAGAAATATTTACTACAAAGTAAATAAAAACAGATCTTGCTGTCAAAATAATCTAGTGACAAGGTAAACAGTGTCCCTGCCTGCTCAGTTTGCAGTCCAGGTGCTAAGTGGGGCGGATAATTTTTAAGGCCCCAGGTCTCCTCTTGTGTCACTTTTTTCTTTAAGCCAAACTTGGACTGGACAGGCACAAACAGAGCATACCTTCAAACAGAGAACTGTCCTCTGACACCTTTTAATTAGTTGACTATGTTGTGTATATCTCAGGGGTTTAGTTATCTGGATGTGGAGCCAGAGATTAGAAATTCAATTCCCCAATGTGCCTGCACGGAGTAGAGCCAGCCTGTGTGGACTTGGACACCCTTCTGGAAGAGAATGGTAAACCACTTCTGAGTACTCTTTCCCTAGAAAACCCCGGAAAAGGTTGCCATAAGTCCAAACTAACTTGATGGCACGTCATCGTCATTATCATGTTATGTAAAATTGGTCACATAGCCACCCGCAGTTCAGTGTAAGACAGGCTTGTCCAATCTGCGGCCCAAGGGCTGCATGCGGCCCAGGTCGGCTCGTAATGCAGCCCAGTGTAATTTTTTTATTTTTAAAGAAATTCCAAAGTTTCAGGGCACGTCACAACGAGGGGGGGGGAGAGAGGGAAGGAAGGAAGGAGCGGGAGGGGAGGGGAGAGGGGGGCTGTGTGACTGTATTGCGCCATCCCCGTCAATAGGTGGATCCCCTCCTGGCCCCATAAAGCCACCGGAGTCGAAGCTGGCAGCCTCTGCTGTCTGAGATCGCAGCTGTTGGTAAGCGCGCTTGGAGCGGGGCTGCGGAGGACGGTTAGGGCTGCCCCCCCATGCGGCCCAAACCAAATTTATGTGCGGCCCAAACCAAATTTTCATCTTCTAATGTGGCCCAGGGAAGGTGAAAGGTTGGACACCCCTGGTGTAAGACATCTCTATTCATATTTGGGGTGAACAGTACAGTGCTGTAGAACTCCTTTTGCTCCCATGGTGCCACATCTCTTTCAGGGCCAATTGTTGCTCTGGGGTCACATCCATATCAATGAATGCAATACTCTTATTTGCTGCACTGATAGCACAGTCAAGTGGGGCCCGCCAGTGCAGAGTCTTGCAATTCCAGGAGAACCAGGAGGAGTTTGTTAAGTCAAGGGCACTTTATCCTTTGTGTTTACGAACAGTTTGCAGCCAGGATTATCTGGAAGATAGTTCCTCTCATAGAAGTCAGTTCAGAATCTGCAGCCTTCAGCTAAGGCCCTGTTGTGTGTCCCACGATCCAGAGGGTCGAGGCAGGTAAACACATAGGGGTTTCTTGATAGTAGCGCCTTCATTTCGGAACTCCTTCCAAAGGAGGTCAGGCTGGCTAGGTGCCTGCTGAGTTCCCAGCGGGTGTTCAAAACAGTATTCTTGGCCTTTCGTTTTAAAAACTGAACTTTAAAATTGTTTTAATCTGTTTTTTAAGAATTTTTAAAAATACATTTGATTGTACAGTATATCACTTTGGGAGGCCCCATTGCGGATGTTAGGCTGCCCTTTAAGGATCTTCTTTTTCTTTTCTTTTTTTCTTTTTGTAAAACTCCTACTTTACAAAGAAACAACTCTGTGATTATTTACAGCTAAACAGCTGAGGAGCATTGAAAATTAGTCTCTAAAGAAAAATGTCTGACAAACCACTTCTGACATTAAAACAGGAAAAATGGAAGCCAACCCCAGATTTCCTGCTCACAAATCTCTCCCTCACCCCAAAGTCAACGCTGAAGATCGGTGTAAAGGTTACAAAACAAAATATTGAGAGGGAAACAGAATAATTACAATGTATTTGGGAGTCTATTGTATGTAGTATGAGTGAGCCTGATACTGCAGTGCCAATACAGTGGTGCCTCGCTAGACGACGATAATCCGTTCCACTGAAATCACTGTTTAGCGAAATCATTGTCTAGCGAAAAGCATTTCCCCATTGGAATGCATTGAAACCGGTTTAATGCGTTCCAATGGGGAAGAATCGTTGTCTAGCGAAGATCGGCCATAGGAAAGCCGCTTTGCGAACTGCCGATCAGCTGTTTAAATCACTGTCTTGCAAAGCTTAGGTCCCGAAAACACCTGTTTTGCAAGTGCGGAGAGAGCTGTCAAAATTGTTGTCTAGTGAAAATCGGTTTGCAAAGCAGGAGCAAACATTGTCCATCGAAATTCCCCCATAGGAATCACTGTTTTGCGAATCACTATAGCGATTGCAAAAAGTCAATATCTAGCGAAAAAACTGTCATGCGGGGGTAACTGTCTAGCGAGGCACCACTGTATAATGCTATGGTAGAGACTGGCTTTGAGGCCTTCAGCACTTTATAAATGAAATAAAGTTGCTTAGGATGATTATAGGATGCTCTCCCATGTAAGTTCTGTGTTCAGATTAGAGGATGGATTCTAAACTATGTTCTACTTCAATGTGAGCAGCTTGAAGATTTCCCAGTATCAAATAAGTATGTGTTACAAATATGTAAATAATAAATGAATTATATTTCACTTTGATATTATTTTTATTTCTAGCACTTTCCTAACTATTGAGTAACTGACTGGTGTACACAGAAAACTAGTTTGGATGTGTTGTTTCTGAAGTCAAAACATGATGACATCCAGTTTCTGGTAGGAGAAAAAGAGGAAGGGGAGGGGGAAGAAAAAGAATAAGATCATTTGCTGAGGGCTAGATCTTTTAAACCTTCTTTTAAAAGAAGTCTGTCTTATTCTCCTCTCTCTTTCCATGCTTTGACTTTTAATCTTCTTTAAGAACTTGTGTCTGAAAAGTTCCATCTGTTCTCGTACTTTATTCTCAACGAAAGCCATATTGCGAAATTTTGTGTCGTCCCTACAATTACAATCTCTACTAATTGCAACACCTAACACAGAATGGCAACTTCAGTGGAGAACCAGAGTGGCAGCTGAGCTTTTAAGCAACACAGACACCTGTTTTTAGTGCTAATTTCTCTTTGTAATAAAACTGGAGTTATTAAAATATAAGGTAAAATGAACCATTAGAATAAATTGCTTTGGAAATTTTCCATAAGGCACTGGTGTACCTCTTAGCATATAGATAAGCTACTTCGATATCCCTAGGGAGAATCTCAAATGCCCCATCAGCTACACAATATGCTTTTAACTCCCTTTACTGTCAGTGCCAAAAATCCTACTGAATTTGATGGAGTTTCCTGCCAGTAAAGATTCTCGTGGCATCACAGGGCCAGTATAGTGCCTCTGCATTATGAAAAGCTTTGAGGCCACTGGCTTTTTCACTAGACTCATAGAACAGTTTTCAAGCTTGACAGTCTTCCAGCATGTTTTCTACAGTCTTGCATGCACTATGCTATGTAACACCATCAGCAAAATAATAACACCTCCTGAAAACAGGAACACTGTTATTAGAATTCGACTAGTCCCTATAATTGTAGCAAAGATACTGCAATTAATAGTGATGATTCTGGAACTTATCCACCCCTTTGGTTGTGTAATTGTAGAGGACAGGAATAACCAAGATCCTGCTTGATCAGAAACAAAAATGTCTTATTATATATTTTAAATTGGACATAAGCATAGGTTGGACTTGGTGGCCTTGGACTTGATTGCCCCTTCCAACTTCACTTTTCAATGATTCTATTATTCTATAGCCATGCTGGATCATATCAAACCCCCACCTAGACAAGCCTTTGGTTCCTACAGTGGCTAACCAATTATATCTGAGGAGTTCACTATTATTGTTATTTGTTTTATTTATCGGCTGCCTTTCTCCCAACAAGGGGACCCAAGGCAGCTCACAATCAAGGTTCTCTCTAAGCTGGGTGCGCATGCACACAACTCCACCTTCTTCTG